TCAAACTGTCTTCTCAATTTTCTTGATGTTTTTTCGAACCATTTTACTTGCCCAACCAAGCTCTGATGAAATTGTATAAATCAAATTAACTTTTTATGTTTCATGTAAAAAGAAAATGTTGGATCGTAGTACAACGTAACCAAAAAAATATTAACATACACGAAAGAAGAAGAATATGTTTTGAAACTTACGGGAGGTGGTGTTGATAATTCAAGGAGGCCAGTGAAACCACAAGCATAATTTATACCAGTTTGAGGAATATTCTTCTTTCCCTTGAAAAAACTTTGCACTGGAGGAGGAAACGACAAGCCAGCAATTTGAGCTGCATAATTAATTTCATTACTAAAATGTTAATTAAATTGTTTTAAAAAAATTGTTGACTAATTGCATACAAGTGTATTATTGGTTACCAATGAAATCTACTACTGTCCTGCCATTAGTGGAACGGCCGGTGGATTTTCCACCAAAATCTATTCCATATGGAGTATAATTTCTATGAAATTGTATATTAAAATATTCATTGTTTCCTGTATCAACAAAAGAGTCGCCAAACACATATAAAGCTGGTAAATCAATTTCAATGTTTTCTAACGATAAAGTTTTCAAAATGGACTCTTTATTTATTTTAAATGGCGGGACTCTAACAGTATGTGCTAAACTCAAAGAGATGAAATAAAGAAAAAGAGAATGGATGATAATATAATTCAAATTTTTTGTCATCTTTTCTTCAACTAAAAGAGATAATTCATAATGTACATAATCTTAATTTGTATTTATACTGGTATTTTATGTTTCAATTTAATGTAATCAGTTAACTGATGATTTTAGGTTACTTTATTTTAATTCGATGTAAACAATAAATGTGATTCATACTTGTAACTTGAAAATTTATTATTCTTTAACAAATAACAACTTCATCTAAATATATTTAGTGCCAAATGACAATTAATGACTTAATTGTTTTCTTGCCAATATTATCGATCACTTTTATTTAGCATCAAATGACAATTATACGTTACAAACTGATTAAGGATCAAATTGAGAGCATGGTTGAATTCATTAGGCGAAAGATGATACTAACCGGGAGATAATTGAATCCAATTAGCATTTAAATAGAGATTTTTGAATTGAGATTAAATTAGGAATGACCAAAAGTAGAATTATACCATTGATTAAAAAAACTGAAATCTGAATAGAACTATAGCATTGGTGAAGAATAAGACTAAAATACACAAATTATTACTAAACTATGCTAAAATGATTCTTTTAGCCATTTGAAATTTTAGAAATTATAAAGTAATCATTAAGTTGATCAAACTATTACGAAATGGTCACTACATATGTAACACCCCCAACCCGTACCCGACCCGAATACGAGTCCGATGTCACATTGACTTTTTAAAATAATATTCTTACCAAATAACATAATATTTGAACTTATATTAAGAAAATATGATAATATATTATTGAATTATATCCGTTATAAAATTTTGAGGCAAAAACGTTTTATGAACAGTACTATACGGTATGAACAGTACCATGAACAGTGTCGAATGTTAAAAAATTTCCAGATTACTGCCAGGGTACCAATACCCTGCTACAACACTGCTACAGTACTTCCGTAAAACATACATAAACTCTTAAAATTTAACCTTTCATCGCTATACAAAATTACCATTTACATATATACGTTTAAAACAATAGAAAAGTCGATCAGAGCGTTCGTACTAAAACATTTCTTACATGCCAACATACTATACACAATCAAAATACATACTTTATCAGTTACTTCTGATCTGATCTTCTAGCAGTGTTGTTGTTCTTGCCACTCCTATTTCTGTTATTCTTGGTTCTTGGTACCTACGTGTAAATCACTTCCCACTAAGTCATAGACTTAGTAAGGCATAATAAAATATATAACAATGAATTCATGAAACATGCACTCTTACCGTTCAATCGTAACATTATAACATGCATGTATCCATTACACTACAAAATATATGATCATGTCATGCATATATGAAATTTATCGTCTTATGCAAGTTTCACTTCACTTTATCTTTGTATTGCCCATGTACATTATTGAGAACAGGAGGTAAATGAGTACACTGAGGTTGTACACGAATGCTGTCACCACAGCTCGAATAAATTCCCACTAGGGGCACTGAATATTTATCCCGAATGACCACTATGTTCCGAATGACCACTGTATATGTCCCGAATGACCACTGTATATGTCCCGAAGGACCACTGTATATGTCTCGAAGGACCACTCCTTAAGAACCATATACATAATACAATGGACCAAATAAGTGTAGCAAAGTACCGCATATATGTTCCACAGAATTACATATATGTCCCGAAGGACCACGTAGAACCCTCGACTCTTAGCATGCCAATTATACCTACAGCTCTCATATTAAATAACATGGGCTTAAATATGAATACATTTCTCATTTTTATATCTTTTTCATCACTTTTCATATAAACACATATTTCACTTCACATGTACACATATGATCATTTCCATTATTTCACATACCTAAATTGATTCTCTTATAACGATATTCATTCATATTATATCATATTAAAGCATGTATGAATTATGCATGTACATGGCTATGAAATCATAATTCAACTATAAGAGATAGACTTATCGCAAGTTTTATCTCCATACAATTATGTCTAATATATGCACTCACCTTAGTCTTGCTTACTTTGACTCGATTCTAATCCTTCGATTGTTCCGGAGGATTACGTTCTATATCTACATAATAATACATTGATACATATCAATATACTAATAGCATATCCTAAACTTTCATTTCTTAAACTAAAGGAAAGGTAATTTCATTGCTTATTTAAAGTAGGTATTGGTACCTTTTGAATGGGTACCGATACCCCTGGTCCAGAGTTCACATTTTTAGCACAAAAATTACTTCGTGTTTCCTCCCCTTTAATAATCCTAACTTACATACACATGCTTAGCCTCACTAATATTCATTTATCCCATCTTTAACCTCAATATCCTCTCCTCTTTATGAAATTCAAGAATCATACTCAAATTTCAACATGTTCTAAATTCAATTCTAACACTTCTTATGTCTTAACTAGATTGATGACAAGTCAAATTCAACCTCTAAATTCATTTAAACCCTCTTGTTCAAAATTTCACTTTGAAATCCATTTTCTTTAATCTTCTATAACTTCTTCATCTTTTGATTATAAGACAACTTAAGCTTTCTTTAAGCTTAAGTATCACCTAAGGATCATAACCCAACCTTTAATTCAGTAAATAATCAACTAATTAAGAAACTTACCTTTGCTTGAGCTTTCACGCAGGGAGAAGAAGATGATGCTGAGAAATGTCTGGAAACATTTGTTTCCCACATTTCTCTTCCACGTGAGTTATAAGATAACCCCAATTAATATTTTATTTTTTTATTTGTTCAATGACTTTTTTACCCTTTAATTCATTTGATAATTACTAATAACTTTCAGAAAATATTTCTAAATAAATCATTAAACTATTAAACTATTCTACTTTTATCACCAAATTCTGAAATTTTACAATTTAGTCACTAACCCGGTATTGAGATGTTACAACATATTATAAAATTAGTTCCGAGTTGTATTATTTTGTAACTTTAGAAATTATAAAGTAATCATTAAGTTTATCAAATTGCTAAAGAACAATGGATTTCCGAGTTGTATTATCTTGTAACTTTAAGAAAATAATTATTAATTATATATTTGATAAAAATGGAGAAAATAAGCTGAAGTTATTAATAAATTATCTACATTTAACATTCTAAACCAATTCCTAAAAAACATAAACCAAAACAAAAAAAAAATATTTCTCTCTCATTAAAATTGTCATCTCCAACAGTGAAACTAACGAATTGTGATTACGTATCCGTTCCGCGAATCAAAGCGAATCGTGAATTATGTAACACTAAATGGTGCTAAAGCATCTAATGTTGCTATCTGAATTGAGACAGGAGAATATGCTTGGTAAACAGGTAACCAAAACATCAACAAGCCAACCATCAAAATGAATGACAAGTTGAAAATAATGAAAGGTTACCATATAGTCGTTTGTAAATCAAGCCTACTCTGCAGCATACTTGAGATCCCAAGTATTTCTGGTTCAGCCTCTAAGGTTTATGTTCCTAAGAGATCTTGGATTCAAACAGGCAGTATCTGGGATAATATATTATTTGGGAAGGGCATGGACAAAGACAGCTTTCTAAGAAAATGTTCTTGAAGCATGTTCCTGGAACAATATTTTTAGATGTGGGATAATAGAGATACGACTTACGAGTGTTGTGGGGGGGGATGAACTTGAGTGGAGGCCAAAAGCAGAGGATTCAGTTAACAAGGACCGTTTACAGTGATTTTGAAATCTAATCCTAGACGACACCTTCAGTTCTGTTGATGCTCATGGAGGAACACATTCGTTCAAGGTTTTAAAAAAACCATCCCAAATCTCTTTTCAAGTGCTATTTGTTATTCAAGTAGCATTCTCCTGTGTTTATTTCTAAGATGAAGTAGCTCCATGTATGATAATTCTTTGCAGAAATGTCTCAAAGGATTATTGTCTAAGAAGAGTACTGTCATGTATGCTACACACCAATTGGAATTTTTTAGATGCAGCAGACATTGTTCTGATAAAATCCAGTGATTGGTACCAATAAACTACTAAGTACTTACTTTCAAGTCTCTCACTCAAGTTGATTTGTTCCCAAGTTTATTCAGTTCAAAATCTATAATGTTGAGTTGGTAACTGAACTCAAAAACCACCCGGCGAAATTCCAGTTTACACTTCCTGTGGTACTTTCATTGGAGAAAAGAAAGTTGGAGTTGTTGAAGATGATATATATATCCACTTAATATAATTTTGCGGTGTCTGAAGATGGAGAGAACAGGAGTTTTGAACAATGTGATTCAAGAGACAAGCTGTACGATTCATGAACCATAAACGCCGAAGTAAACGAGTGCTTTGATAATAGTAGTAATAACAGTTTGTACGATTGATGAACAATAAAGTTGAATACATGAAATAAAAGGTTCATATGATATCCTTGAAACAGAGTTGGAACCACAATTTATGCATGCTCTCCGAAGGGTGGAAAGGGTCGAAGTAGGCATGAGTTGTTCTGTCAGCGCAAGGGGCTCTACCTGGAGCACATTCCCGTGTTTGATTCCCCGCTACGTCAATGCAGCAGGAATCAACAACATTTCTAAACCCTGCAATATTCAACATAGATATAACAGTATCAGTTCAAACCGCAACAAAAAATGAACACTTCGCTGCAAACCAAAACGTGCACGTAGCACTACATGCATGCTTATATAATAATGAAATTATCTTCTAACATTTCTCACCATATATTTCGGGCAAAGCGTGGACATCTTCAAACAGTTTGTACAGGTCACACAATATAAATGTTGTTCCCTTCAGTGACTTCTCTAATACCGTCAAAATGTCGGAAAGAAGGTCATTGAAGAGAACTGCTCTTCGATTCATATCTACCAAACAGGAAGTACTGTGTGGTTTTCTGTGAAGATAGACAGGGTGACAGCCTAACGGGGAAACATTGTTCACTACAAATTTCCTCGCTCCCAATCCATGTATTTTCTGCATCATAATTAAAACTATGTAAACTTGAATATCCAATTCTGAAAACTATGTCAAATTGTCAATAAAATTTTAAAAGAGTGTTTTACCTGTAATCTCTTCTTGAATTCTTGCGATAAGTAGCGAATATATTTTTCTACGTTAGGGAACCCTTTATTTTTTTCATCAAGATCCCAATAAACGCTTAAGTCGTTAGTTCCAGTGTGAAGAAAGAACAAAGAGTTAGACAAATGGAGAGCAAAGCTTTCATTGCTCTCAAATTGGCCCTTCAAGCTTTAAGTTGTCTGCTCGAACAACTTTATTTGTTCCTTCAAGCTCAAGACCTTTACCTGAGGTGTATACAAGAAAACAACAAAAGAAGTCAATTGAAGTTTTATCCACGGCAAAGTAAATCAATGGAGCCAAGCTCAACACCAGACAAATAAATCAAATTACTTACGAATATTTGAGCTGTATGAGGAGGCATACGCCGTATTCCACTCGAACTAGAACCATAGTTGATTCCAGTCAGTGTGCTCTTGAGTTGGTCTTTAGACAAACTATTCACAGGCGGAGGAAACGGCAAGCCAGCAGATTCAGCTGCGTACCCAAAAAACATGAGTAAACAATATTAGATAAATAAACAAAACAAAAACTTTGTGACTAGTTAAACTAACTTCAAGAAACAGGTCGGCAAGGAAATTATGGCAGCAAGCTTAAGAAATGATAATGAGCAGTAATTTTGATCCTTACCGATGAAATCAACAACGGTTCTGCCGTTCGTTGTCCGGCCAGTTGGTCGACCTCCTTGGAAATCAATCCCGTACGGCAAGTAGTTGAATGTGGCTGCTGCACCATCAATAAATTTGTTGTTTCCAGAATCTATATAAGAGTCACCAAAAGCATATATTGCTGGAATTTTGGATACGGAATTGTTTAAAGCAAAAATGCAAGAAGGCTGCGAACAACTGTAAACTGAACTCAAGAATAAAAAGAAAAAACTGAGAACATCAACACAAATGAAAGCCATTGCTAAGTGAAAAGAAAGCAAAGATTGATGGATTGATGGATTGATGGATTGCTGTGTTGAACTGAAGAACGAAACTGACATTATATAGGCGTTGGGGGTGGGGGGTTAGTTAAAGAATAGAGCTTTAAATTAGACGAGACTGATCGTGAGTTATTCGAGATCGATTTGATCAAGGTTCAATAAATACTCGGATCGAATGGACTCGACTTGAGTTCGAGCTCGACTCAAGTTCTTAACGAGCCGAAATGAGCTACTCGATATTCGACTCGAAAAGCTCGTGAGTAGCTCGAAAATATAATATATTAAGATTTTATTTTTTTAATAAATTATTAATATTATTAATATATATGTATATATTTTTTTAAAAATACAGTAAGACTTCATGTATTTAAGGTTCATGTTCGAGCTTGAGGCTTCAATCTAGTTAAGTTTAAGAATTTTTTTTTCATTTCGAGCCTTTTCGAGCTACTCACGAGATTCAGTTCAGGATTTCGAGTTCGAGTCGAGCTTGAAAATTTTAAACTCGCTAGTTTTCGAGTCGAGTCGAGCTTCATTTCAGAGTTTTCGAGTTGAGTCGAGTTTAGCTCAGTAATACTCGAACTCGACTAAGCTCGTTTACACCCCTAGTTAAGAACCCTTCACATGTATCTTTAATAAATTGAGATGAGTTAATTATTTAATAAACATTTTAATGTTTATATATTATTGAATTGTTAAAGTGCAAAAAATAGCAAAGAGACTTTTAGCTTTTTTAAAAATAAATTTAAATATATAAAAATAATATACAAAAATATTGAATTTATTTTGAGGGGAAGAACTTTATTTAATTTAACATGTCAATCAATATACATCTATAAAATTACATTCGAGGGGCTAAATAATCCTGTTGAGAAAATTACGAAAATAAGGATCATGGAAATTTAGGTAAAAAATAGGATGAATGCTACCGTAGATATAATAATATTATTATGTAGACTATAATTATATTTTTAAAAAAAGTTTAAAATGAAATTGTGTTTAGCTTAGTATAAAATATAATATTTATTCATTTTTAAATTGCCAATGATATTGTAGGAGTTAATGGCTGATGTTGGGCGAGTTTGATTTAATTATAATTTCATTTTGCATCACATGGACTAAATTGAAAAAGAAATTAAATTACAGGAACCAAAATAAAAAATTTAGATTTTTACAATTAAAGTATACATTTCAATTTTTTCTATAAATAATGATATATTTATGATCAAAACAATATTTTTAAGTTAAAATGATTACAAGATGCCTTGAACTCTTTACGACGCATTTATCTTTTAAAAGTTACATAAATTCAAAAATCATCTTAATTAGACACAAAAATTTATATCCTTTCAAATTTTTATAATATAATTATATTTAAAACAACACGACAAATGTAATATTTGTGTTAATATCTAAAATATTATTTTACCCATTATACTTTTAATTTCTTTTAATTTGATCCTAAAAATACAGAAAGAGAGAGAACTAGCAAAACCGTCGAAAACTTTAAGAGACTTGGAACCGGATTAGTCAAGTGTGCAAAGCGGATCAGTCCGGATTAGTCAAGGCAAAACCTTGTAATCGGAAGGGCAACAAAAAAAATCGATTTCAATTGCTGACAATTTTATTGTTCATTATAATCTTCACCCATTTTTTATAAATAAATCCCAATGATCCTCATTTTTCTATCTTTTAAACATCATTATTTCGTCAACTTTATTATAAACTTAATAAATTATATATATATATATATATATATATATATATATAACACTTTAGACACTTACTTGATAATTTATTAAAAATCTTCCCCTCTACATCAAAAGTCAAAACAAACTAAGTCGAGTAAATGAGGTTGGCATTTATCTATCTTTATAATGAACTACAATGGAAAGTTATTTTAATAATAAAACTGTGGGAACCAATATAATGGCATATATTATTTTTTGGTGATTTTAAAAATGCTCTTAAAAGGTATTGTTGGATTATTTGGTTCAGAGTTTTAGTGTTCAGCATTGATGTCAAAAAATGTTTTAAATAAATAAAATGTCAATTTTAGATATAGTATTTTAAAATAAAATTAGTTTAATTTAATAATATAAAATTATCAATATTTTAATATATTAAATATTACATTTCAATTTATCGTAAGAATATTATTAATAATTTATTAATTGTATTTTAGTATATAAAATATTAATTTAAAATTGTATTAATTTTTTTAGTATTATATATATATATAGTTTATGTTAAAAAAATCTCTTTTTTTTGTAAAATGGAGTGTGATGTGAATAAGTATTCAATCGAATTGAATTAAAAAAAATTGAGTTAATCAAGTTGATGAGTCTTATTTTATAACTCATATTTTATTTAATTTTTTACGAGTTGAGTCGAGTTTATAAAATTTGAGTTAAATCGAATCAAGTTGTTTAAGTTTTTGTTTAAATTTAATTATAAATATTTATAATTTTATTATACTAATTGATTCCAATTTAAACGAATTTCTATAACATTAGACGAATTTCTATAACATTATACAATATACAAATATGTGCTATGCATATATCATGCAGAGTTAAAAGATTCGACTTGAACTTGAAAATCAATATATTAATTACTAAAAGTTTGAGTTATTCTAGTCTTATTTTAGAACTCGAATTTTATTTGAAATTTTTATCAAGTCTTGTTAAGTTTATAAAATTTGAATTAAAAAATTTAATTTTTCTAATCGAATGTTCATCCACCGGTGCCCTAAAACCTAGTTAAAAAATGATGATTTATTCATAGCCATGTGAGGTGCACTGAAACTTGAACATACATTAATAACACACCCCAAAAGGGCATTGTCAACACCATGCGATGGTATCCCTTCCAACCTCACATGATTTGTTATTAAGGATTTAAGGTGAATATGATTTATCCCAGGAACAGTAATTATCCTCAACAACCCTACCTATAAACAATAATGCATTTGATTTGTCTCAGCGATGATAATTGTGCTACTTATTCATTGTATGAGTACATATTATCAAGTGACGTGTGGTGTATCGTTGTATTTTTAATACTAACATTTTCAGAACATACCACCATGTGAACGGCCTCAACTTTTATTCATGGAATTTTAAATTTTATGTATATTACTATTATTATTGAGTAAAAATGTCAACTTTATTCATTGAATTTTTAAATTTTGTGTACATTATTATAATTATTCCTTTTTTCCAAAGATGAAAATAAAATGCATTAATACCTATCGTCCTATCCTAATCTCTTTCTAGACTACCTACCCTAAAATCTAAAAGAAACACCCCCTAGTTCTGACCCCTCCTACAACCCATGAAACTAATCTATACATCCATTAAAAGCAATCCCCTATGCCATAAGAAGCACAATCTGAAATTCTGAATTTCTATGTCACTTCCTCTTGCCCCCTATAAATGCCAAATGTATTAATTATAAGGGTGATTATGAAAATCAGTTTAGCTTTTCTTTTTTGACAGCAAATGTTAGTGTGTTTTTTTAATGGAGAAAATTACTAACTCAGTGAGAAGCATTACTAGAGATTAAATAATATACACGAGACACATAAAAACTCAAATAATAAAATTAGGATAGATTAATTTAAAAAATAATTTATCTATTAATATTATATTCTTTTTGTGTTTTAATTCATTTTTTTATAAAAAATATATCATTTATGATATATAATTTTTACATATTAATAATTTTTAAAAATAAATTTTAATTTTTTTATTTTATTACTTTCAATTTCTTATATTATGACTCAGTTTGCTATATAAGTTGCAATGTTAGTTTTCAACTCTAAATTTATTTTTTTAAGAATTGAATCATTATACGGTGATTCAATATCTCAATTAGTACAAATACAATTATAAACTTTTAGGGATTGTGAGTTCAATTGATTTTAAATGTATAACTTTCTCCTTGAATGAGTATAATTAATTTGATGTATTAACATTAAATTAAGATAATTTCATCAATGAATTCAAAAGTATTGAAAACCTTTTGATATTTCGATATAACAAATAAAATGTTAATTAATTTTAAGATTTTGTTTTTGATTTAAATAGTATATTTGATTCAATTATTCGAATATTACAAATATTACTTCAAGTCTTCAAATATCAATTTTTATTCCTTACTAAATGAAAATTTGAGATTTACACTTAAAATATTTTTGAAACAATTTTTACAAATTATTTCGAACCATAATCGAGTCAAAATTGAGATTTCAATAGGGTAGTGATAAGTGCCAAGGGTAGGGTATGCGTGTTTTTACTAAAGGGGTAAATATCTGTTTAAGTCTCTGTTCATTTGTAATACTTACATTTTGGTCACTGAATGAAATTATTTTCTTTTGATTCGAGCCTTCAAGTTCTTAATATGTCTATTTTAGTCATTTTTTTGCCCTGTAATATGTATTGGCTTTAATATCCTTTTTAGCTGATAACTTATGATTCGTTTCATTTTTTATCCTTATATGTGCCTTAATAGATCTTATTGATATTTATAATTTGGTCTGCAAACGTGTTTTAGACCTTCGTATTTTAAAGGTCTTGTTTTTTCCTCAGTGCATGTGTTGTGAGATATTTTCATTTTTGCCCCGTTTCTTTTAGGTCTTATATATATATATATATATATATATATATATATATATATAGTCCAAATTTGTAACTTTGTTATGTATGTACATATTTATTTATATATTTTAATTTATGCTTTTTATTTTGGTTCTTTTACATATTTTAATATAAAAATAATTCAAAGCATTATTAAATACATCATATTTTAACTTTATACTCGATTTATATTTTCCACCATTACGACAACGTGTAAGCGATTAAGTATAAATTTTGGGTGATGTGGGGTGTTAATCATTCCCCACGCGTAACCGACTCCCGAATCCACTAAATCGAATCTTTGATGATGTAGACCGAATTTTGTCTAAAAATGATTTTTCTTAAAAAAAATTTAAAAGACGTTTTTAGGTATTTTCGACCTACCTAATCCAAAGGTCGATGGCGACTCTCATTCGATTTAATTCAAATTAATTCAAAATCAACAACTTTTCAAAATAAAAGTCATAATTATTATTTTTAAATAATACTTAATTGTTTTTAAAAAAATGGTTATGACACAGTTCAACTCAAAAATATATATATTTCGAGTCAAGATAAAATAAAAGACAAAGGGAATATGGTAAAGCCTCATAATTACATCTAGATAATTACATCTAGATGGTTACAATGGTCAAAACAAGTAAATGTAACACTTTATTTGAATCTTTTGACAGTTACAAGTAAATTCAAAATTCTGTCGTAAGTAGTTGTTTGATGACATCCACAATCATACTTACTAGTAGGGATTTCTGTGCAGTGTTTTCAAGCTTAACAGAAGATGTTAGATAGGGAAGATGAAGAACGAGTGTTGGGATACAAAAAAGGGCACACAAAAGAAGCAAAGGATTTCTGTTCCAAGGTTAATGGTGCATAACCTTGAACAGTCTAAGGTTTTACAAAAATGGCAAAAAAATTCTAAAAGTTATGATTTGACCTCAAAAACTTTACAAAATTTTCAGTTTAATCCAAATTTCAGAATTAATCTATTAAAATCTAATTTAAACCCAATAAATCCTTTTATCCCGATTTTAGTATCTCAGGTAAAACTTGATGCCGCACAACCACACAAATTCCCCAATTTATTTTAGGTTCTGATATAGATTATGTTTGTGGAGCTTTTTGCAGCATTATATGTACGCAACCCTCTGCTTCAGAAAGATGAGAGAAGTTGTAAATGCACCATTTGCCATTGCTTTACTATCATTGATTACCGTAGATGTTCTGAAATATGAGAAACATCATGATGGATAAAGAAACATAAGGACCAAATCATACGACAGAATTATTATTAGTTATATATTTTATTAGGAAAACATGGAACATATCTTTTAGTTTATGATTGTATTAATTGAATCAAGCTGATAGGATAAGTGACCGATGAATCATTTAACATACGTCTTGCCCATATAAAATGTATACTCTCGGTCGGGTTAAATGCATCGAAAAAAACATATTTATTTCTATCTTTGCACGGCGCTACATTTGGGAGGCATCCTTTTGTCCAACTGTCCATTAATTTACTACAACAAGTTCCTTTCACCTCTGTAAATCCTGTAAAAAAATCAATGGTGAAGAAATTGATAAACATTTAATTTTGATTTTGCAAGGTCAAAGGTTTGAGTCAGTATATAGAATAATACTCACCATAGGATGTAGGCGATGCATAAACATCTTTGAAAATCTTATATAAATCTACGATAACAAATTTTGATCTTGAAAGTGTTGATTGCAAGTCTCTCAATAGATTAGATAGGCGCTTGTTAAATAACAATGCCCTGTCATTAGCTTCGTCCCAACATTTACCATCAAAAATTTGATCTGGTTCACATCCTATTGGAGCTAAATTATTGATCACAAATTTACGTGCACCGAGTCGATATAATGTCTACATTTGGCAAGAAAAATAGGTTATTTAACCATCTTAATTTTAGATACTTGACGGTTATTTTTTATTTATATTAGCTAATTTAATTACCTGTAAATACGTGGATAGGTTTTCTATTTGAAGTTTTGTAGCAGAGTCTGCATCATATAAACGGACCCATCCGAGCCACTTGTGACCCAAGTCAAGTGAACCACTATTAATAAAAAACAAAGACTTTGACAAGTACGTTGAAAAACTCTCTTTGCTTTTAAATTGTCTTCTCAATTTTCTTGATGTCTTTTCGAACCATTTTACTTGCCCAACCAAACTCTGATGAAATTGTATAAATCAAATTAGCTTTTTATGTTGCATGTAAAAAGAACATGTTGGATCATAGTACAACATAACCAAAAAAAATATTAACATACACGAAAGAAGAACAATATGTTTTGAAACTTACGGGAGGTGGATATGATAATTCAAGGAGGCCAGTGAAACCACAAGCATAATTTATACCAGTTTGAGGAATATTCTTCTTTCCCTTGAAAAAACTTTGCACTGGAGGAGGAAACGGCAAGCCAACAATTTGAGCTGCATAATTAATTTCATTAGTAAAATGTTAATTAAAAAATTGTTGACTAATTGCATACAAGTATATTATTGGTTACCAATGAAATCTATTACTGTCCTGCCATTAGTGTAACGGCCGGTGGATTTTCCACCAAAATCTATTCCATATGGAGTATAATTTCTATGAAATTGTATATTAAAATATTCATTGTTTCCTGTATCAACAAAAGAGTCGCCAAACACATATAAAGCTGGTAAATCAATTTCAATGTTTTCTAACGATAAAGTTTTCAAAATGGACTCTTTATTTATTTTAAATGGCGGGACTCTAACAATATGTGCTAAACTCAAAGAGGTGAAACAAAGAAAAAGAGAATGGATGATAATATAATTCAATTTTTTTGTCATCTTTTCTTCAACTAAAATAGATAATTCATAATGTACATAATCTTAATTTGTATTTATATTGGTATTTTATGTTTCAATTTAAAATGTTCAATGCAATCAGTTCACTGATAATTTTAGGTTACTTTATTTTAATTCGATGTAAACAATAAATTTGATTAATACTTGTAACTTGAAAATTTATTATTCTTTAACAAATAACGACTTCATATAAATATATTTAGTGCCAGATGACAATTAATGACTTAATTGCTTTCTTGCCAATATTATCGATCACTTTTATTTAGCATCAAATGACAATTATACGTTACAAACTGTAACACCCAACCTGTACTCGACCCGAATACGAGTCTAAGATGTCGCATTGACTTTTTAAAACAATATCTTACAAAATAATAGAACATTTAAACTTATATTAATAAAATACTATCATATACCGTGGAATTATGTTTCATTATAAAAAATATTTAAGGCAAAAACGTTTTTATGAATAGTATTATAATGTATGAATAGTACCAATGTTAAAAATTTTCCAGAATACTACAGGGGTATCGATACCCTACTACAGTAATTCCGACCAACATATATAAAACTCATAAAATTTAAATTTTCATCACTATACAGTTACTATTTACATAAATACGTTTAAAACGTTACAAAATTCAATCATATGATTTTACAAAACCGATTAGAGCATATCGGATTCAAATCTTTATTTACATTATAATACCTCAATTTAGGGGTTAAATTTTAGAAATTATAAAATGGTGAATTTAATTGGTATTTGGAAGAAATTTGGGGATTAAATTATAATATTTCAAAGTTGGTAGACCCTTTTATAAAGTGTAGAAATTTCAACGGCTAAACTCATAGTTTAACAATTTTTATTTATGAGAAAATTTATAAACCCCCACCCGTGCTCAGTTTTCCAGATTTCTCCCATTTCTCTTCCTCGTTCACCCTACTTTCAATTCCGATCTATTCGTCGTTCGACCTCCAATCGACGAACCGAAATCACCATCGTGTTCGTTATCGACCGAAGAACAAAACCCTTCAAACGTTTCGTTATGAATCGACATCGTTTGTCGTTAATTTCAGTCGGAAGTATCGTCGGTGATAACTCAATTTCTGTTGGTTTTTCGTCGTTTTACGTCGATTCGACCATCCGTTTACGACACCTCCCACACCATCGTGTTTCTTGCATCGTTCCGCATCCACCGGTGTCCTCTGTTTCTGCGTAGTCGCCATCCCCCGAGAGTGGGCATCGTCTGGGTGTTAATTTTGTAATTAATTTCTGTTTGGGTGCTATTTATGTAAAATTCGGGTGTTAGTTTCGTAAACATTTGCAGAAGGCAGCTAATTTTGTAATTTATTTCTGTTATGGTTAGAGGTGCACAAAAAATCTGAATATCCGATTTTGGGTAAAAAATATCCGAAACCGGATTTTGGAAAAACCGGTTTTTTTAAACCGGATCGGATATTTAAAAACCGGATAGTATAACCGGTTTGGGAAAAAATTGAACGACCGGTTTTTTTACCGGATTAAAAATCGGTTTTTTCAAACCGGATAAAAAACCGGTTTTTTATCCGAAAAAAATCCGGTTTTTTTAAAAAACTGGATTTTTATCCGAAAAAATCCGTTTTTTTTTAACCGGTTTTTTGCAAACCGAAACCGGTTACACCATCCGACCCTCCAAACCGGTTAGGATCCGAACCGATTTTTTTAAAATCCGATTTTTGGGTTGGGGAAAAAACCGGATCGGTTTTTATCCGATCCGGATCGGATTGAAATCCGGCTTCTGTGCATCTCTAGTTATGGTGATATTTGTGTAAAATGGTCGAATGTTGACCGGTGTTGACCACAGTTGACCAGAACTTTGAGCGGCGTTGACCGGGTATTAAACGACCTTTGACTTTGATCGAGTATACCTACCTAACGATTTTTGACGTTCTGAGTCCGATTCCGCAGTCCGTTTTTAGAAATTCAAACCCGAAGGCCTCGAAATTTCTAGTCAAACATGTTAACTTTGATTTTGACCGAAAAGTCAAAATTTTCGAAAAGTCATATTTTAGGTTTTTTTACGTCCTGAATTCGAATCCGAAGTCTGTTTCGCCAAATTCGAACCTGATAAGCTGTTTCGCCAATTTTTGTTGATATGGATCCGAGAAAATATTGAAAGTTGAATTAAAGATCAAGGGCGTTCGAATGAAATTTATATGGTCGATCAGAATGGCACGAAAATCGAGGTAATACATTATTACCTCTTTATGCTTTATGGAACATGTGAATATTGGTAAATGCATGATTAAGATAATGTTGGTCTCATTTTTGTAGTTAATGAATTTCTACACTCTATCTGAATACAATATAAATTTGGCAACTGATTATGGTTCAGATGATTAATATAAGAAATTGATGGATTGTTAGAATTATATTAATAGTTCTGTGATTAGTGATAAAGAAATTAGCATGGATTTGTAGCTTATAATATATGTCATTAAAGGTTAAATGTTAAAGGTACTTGGATGAGAAATTATGAGAATATTTCGGTAGGGTAAAATTATGAAAATACCCTTATATTATAAAAAGAAAAGATTTGACCATGGAAGTGGGATAAGAGGGTTTTTTAAAGACATATTGATCTGTTGAAACTACTGATGTGCATAAGAAATACTAGTTTTGCTTAGAAAATTTGGATAACTGGTTTTTAACCCCAAGAGGGTTTGAGCAAGAATCTAGAAGTCTGTTAAGGAATCATTTCAAGATCAGAGAATGTTCGGGAAAATAATTAACCATAGAGTCTCTATATTATAGTTATTTTCGTTAAGAGTTAATACCGAAGTTATCTGGTTAAGAAATTACAAAAATACCCTTGAGAGGTAAAAATAGTCCGAGTTGACCATGAATGAGAAAGTACTTTGATGATTCGTACTTAACTCGATAAATTACGGATTTAATGGTTAAGATCCATCTTTGTACAGAAAAATTTCTAATAACATGTCGGTAACTTCTGAGAAGACAATTGACCTGAAAATCTTCGAGTTAAGAATAAATTATCAAGGGTTCTATTTTGTCAGAATTGTTCGAAAGGACTGGAAAAGATGATACGTTTGAATTAAATAATAAGATCATATGGAAGGAAATGATTGAAATACACCAGATCTGTAAAATGACTAAAATACCTCTGTAATGGAAATGACCCAAGAATATCACCAAGCTCAGGAATGATGGGATATCCTTGAGCTCTCTAATGAATGGAATAAAACTAACACCAAAATGACCAAAATACCCTTATGGCCTAGACTAAGTAAATGTTTTGGATTAATTAAGGAATCTAAATAAACATGGGTGTTGAACTACCCTTAAAAGTTATAGAATTCAGTTTAAGTGAGTTGACCAACGCAAATGATATGTCAGTACCTGAATGGCATAGGTATCATTTGAATGTGTGTTCGTCTTCTCAAGTTTGGTTCGATGATAATTTTGGATGTATTCAGCTCAGCTCAGCTCTAGATCGTATTCAGTATTAAGAATTTGATAATTGTATGACAAATCAACCACGAATATATAACTAAATTAAACGGGAGTACAATATGTATCAGTAATTCAGAAACATCTGTATTACCTTGGAAAACTCATAAGTAACTGGAATGAACTTGACTACTAAATGAATTAAGTAACCTCAAGGACTAAGGATTAAGTAAGTGATTTGGATGAGGCTGGAAACGTTAATGAATATACATGATGTAATGTTCTTATGGATCATGAACTACAAATCAAGCACGTCGGCATTTCATGATATAGTGGAAGCGTGAAAATGAAATAAAGACATTGGAAGATTTATTCAGTGATGATTCTGAAGATGATCTATGGATAAGAATTTTTGGTATTAAAGTCCTCAAACCCTAGAAGGACAATGAATTGACCAGTCGATAAGTATTTGTTATGGGAACTATTTATCTAAGAGTTGTTCGATAATACAATCAATCGACATAGATTGTAAATGTCCTGAACCTTCAATTCTTCCTTACCAGCTCAAGCCATATTCTGAATAACTGATGATTCCGTCAGTTATTGAACTCTTCCAATAGTGATTCTGAATTCCGACATTCTATTGGTATACTGAAAATCCGTCTATTTTTTCCTGTTAAGATTATCCTGTACCTCTGAATAATATCCATAAACTATGGTGTGTTCACTAATCACATAAATATTTTATCTTATTTTCGACTTGAATTCTGTTCTGATATATTACCTGAATTTTGTTCTGATTTCTGATTTGGATTCTGTTCTGATATCTAATCTGAATTCTGTTTTGATTTATGATATCTCCGTTTACTGACGGAGAAATGTTTTATATGGGGGGTTTATTGTTGGAGGAAGTATAGCTGCAGGATTCTCGGTTGTGTGCTCAGGGCCTCACTGGTTGTGCGGGGTGTATGGTTCCGGGGAATCTACACAAACAGATTGTGAAAGGATGGGGGTGTATATATATATGTTTTAAAAAGATCTGTATCTTTTTACTGGTTTTATGGGAACACACTAGATAACCTATTCTGATCTCCTGGACCTAGACATCTGAAATATTTCCATCTGAATTGAATATTATCTGTTACTACCTGCGATATCAATTGACCTCAGCTCAGCCTAAAAATCTGTAGATATCTGAACCAATAAGGAAATGTATGTTTATCTGTATCTGCACGTTCTTCAGCATCATCTGGTAGTTCTGTATTACCGAGCTTTCCGAAGCTCACTTTATTACTCAACATTGCAGGTTAAAAGAATTGTACCAGTGCAACTATCGACTTCAGTAAGGGAGTTTTTCCGACGTTGCTTGCAGAGTATAGTACATGTGATTAGGGGGCATGTAATTGTATTTTTGTTTTATATATGAGTCTAAAAATCTGTTTTATTTCTGTATATTGATAAATCATTTTATAAGTTACATGTTTTAATAAAAGTTTTAAATTTTCCGCTATTTTTACAGTGGGTCGCTCCGATGGCCCTAATGTGACACTCCAGATCGGATCGGGTTACCCGTATCGGTCTGAGGGGGTTACATACATGCCAACCACAATCAGTATTACAAAATACATACTATTTAATTTCTTTTCTGATTTGATCTTTAGAAATGAGAAAATGACCTGCATTGCTTAAACTTTTATCATTCTTCCTCTTCTTGAACCTAAGTGTGAAACAATCACACGCTAAGTCGTTGACTTAGTGAGACATATAAAACAAATAATAGAATCATAGAACATTTCATATAACAGAATGCATACATGCATATATATATAATCCTTATCAACACCAACATCATTATCATGATCTCTATCATTATCAATATCAATATCATTATCATGTAATACATTTCACTCAGCAATATACACAGTATCACATATAAATCTTGTAAATACTTTTGATATCTTTTATAGGCCCATGTATATTACTAAGAACTTAAGGTATTTGAGTACATTGAGGTTTTGCACTTACGCTGTCACCAGAGCTTGTATGGAGTCCCACTAGGGGCATATGAAATTTGTCCCGAATGACCTATGTATTTGTCTCGAATGACCTTTGTATATGTCCCAAAGGACCACGTAGAACCCACGACTCTTGGCATGCCAACTATACCTCTAGCTCTCATATCACATAACATGGGCATTATCATTTATAACAGTTCACATCACTTGTATCATATAAACATGTAATCTCATAACTTGTTCTCGTATAGCTTGTATATCATCCTTGTCATATAACCCATATTACATAGGTTCATATCATGTAACATATATCACATGTGCATGTAATCACATAGATTGTATCATATAGCTTTTATCCTTTCTCATTTGTTCATATATGTATGTCATATATTGTTCACATATGTTCATATATACACCACTTAGCACATAAAATAACATATCATATTTTTCATATATTCATGTAGTTCAGTATCACATGGGTGTTGAACTTAAATCACCAATCTTTTCAAACTTCCAAAATGGTAATATTTCACATCTAAATGCTCATTTTAATCCCAAAATAACAATTTCCAATATAGTACATTAACTATTAAACAATTATACAATCATTCACAACTTTTCTAAAATTTATGAATTGGTCCCCTAACTTTTCAAAAATTACAAAATGGTCTCCAAATTTTCTAAAGCTTATAGAATACTTCCTACATCATTTCCAGACCTTATATAATTTTTTCATAATTTTTCTAACTCAAATTCATCAT